CAGGTCGGCTTCGAATGGGGCATTGGGGATGGACTTGGCGGGTGGCCGAAAGCGGATCGGAGGCGGTGGGCAGCGTTGGCGGAAGGTGAGGGCGAAGGTGAGGGGCTGTTGGAGGGGGATCTGTTGGAGAATTCGTGGCCGTGCATCGCAGCCCCCGAATGAAGGAACATGTCTGGCGACTACCTAGACGGTGCCTCGCAATCGCCAGCACGCTGATTTGGGACTGCGCAGCGGACGTGGCGGGCGAGTAAAAGAGTGCACTCGTCGAGTCGATTGATGAGCATATGCCCTCTTCCACAAGGAGCGGCGTGAGGAATTGGGTATCGTCGAGCCAGTCGGGGAAGGGCGTGCGTTTCTGTAAGTGGGTGTGGCAGCAGATATAGTCGTATTCGTGTAGTATCGGATAGCTCGGGTTTCCGTCGTGCGTCGTGAGGAACGAGGGGAAAGGAGGAGACGCAAGCGAAAAGGTTAAAAAGGAAGAAAAAAACTAGGACTGTGGAAATCGTGAGAAGTGAAGAATGGACGGAATGACAAAGAAGTGAAGAGGACAGTCGACAAAAGGAGAGAAGGAAGGTTTCCGTCGGTGGGTTGGATGGTGGCACACGAGGTCGAGGCGAATCGTTGTACTTGGGGCGACCGGGTCAGCTTGTCCTGAGGCTCAGCAATTGGCCGAGTCGGATGGGCAACGGAGACCCCTTGCGAAAGACTTTGCAAAAGAAGTCCAGGTGTAGCGCAGCTGAAGAGCCCGAATTGTGCGCTGATGTGAGGGAGCTGCGAGCCTTGTGCAGGCGTTTCGCGTGGGCGGATGACAGAAGGATGATCTGCTGACGGGAGGCTGCACCCAAGCTGGCAAGCTCCGATTCGGGCGAGGGGCACAGGGGGTTAAGGGGTTTTTGGGGGGGAGGGGGCCCCGAGTGTTAGGGGGCTTGGGGAGGGGAAAGGAGACCAATGGCGTGGTGCCGAGACGGAAGGGGCAAGTGAAAAGGGCCTGTCAACAGTGGCCCGGGCCAGTTGATGATTCGTCCTTTCAGGGGCGCAGCTTCCTCCAGGGTGGAAAACGGGGGGGGGGTCGTGGTTGGGTCGTGTCTGCCCTGTGATCTGTGGTTTGTTCGCCTGAGACGAAAGCTTGTGGCTTCTTGTCCGTCTGCCTCTGTGCTGTTGCTGGCCAGAACGACGAGAACAGGCGAGAAAGCCGAAGAGTAGACAGACGTCAGGACGAACGGGACAAAACGACTATGTGTATGAAATGGCAAGGAAAAGCCCGGATGGTTTTTTTGCGGACGAACCAGGACGATTGCTGCTGCCTGCCAGTACGTAGCGGCCTGTACCTCAGGTACCTGCCGTAGGATCGGTGCCTTTTCTCTGATTTGTGCCGAATGCGATGGGATCGGACCTGGGCTGGGACTATCCCGAGTAAGGGACGACCTGGGGGACCCTTGGCTCCAGAGGCAGGCTGAGGTGGGGACGCTAGTCTTGAAAAGACCGCTAGCGTGCGGCAACCGGCAGCTTTCCTTCTCGCCTTGGAGGATGGCTCTTTCGCTCTTTCCAGATGCAGCTTCCACGGTGGTCCCTGAATCGTCAAGTAAGGACTAGTAAGAGCAAAGTCGTTGATGCCTGCTCTTTCAGAAGTCGAGCTCTTGCAGAAGTCGAGGTGGGATCAGAACCCTGGACGGTGGATGCGAAGAACCGAAAACGCGGCGCTGGTGACGGTGCACGAAAGACGCGGTACAGTGGCAGGCGGCTTCGGTTCGCCCGAGGATCCGTCTGGATGGTGGATTGCAAGTTTGCGATCCTCGATCCTTGGTAGGGGATTGCGGGTCGTTCGTCTTTCCTTCGTTCGCGTTCCCCGTCTGGCGTTCGTTCATGCAGTGGGTCTGCCTGCCAAGTGGAGGAATGGAGGTGACGGCGAGATGGTATTCTCGTCTCTCGATGGAGAGGCTGCTGTCGATCCTGAGACTATGCGGCCACGAGCAGGGGCCGCAGGTTGGCAAAGTGTCGAAAGCTCGTTCAAAGCAACAGATGTTGCGTCTAGGACCGTGACACGCACTGGATCGATCCAGACTGGTTGAGAGAGAGAAGCGTGATGGACAGCAACAGCACACGGCGGGGGCGCGTCGTGTGCACGCAACTGAAGTGCAGAAGAGGCGGTCAGATTCCTTCGATGCACCCACCGTCTTTGCTTTTTGACCTGTTCTCACTCAGACACAGATCGTTTGTTCCCAACAATCGTGCCTTGGCGCCGTCGTCCCTCTTTGCTTCTGATGATGACAGCAGGGGAACGCACGCCACTTGTCTGACAGCTAAGATAGGTAGGTAGGTATGAAAAAAACTACCCCCCACTTGATCGACTTTTGTGATCGGGGGCTAGTGTGTCTCCCGCGCGCAGACGAAAGCCCTCGCTTGGCACGCGTTTGCGGACCGGCCGTCTAGTCTCTACTAGTAGGCGCTGTAATGGCAAAGGATGGTGCGACGAGGAGGAAAGATGGCAAGGTTTGTCGAGTCGTAAAGCTCGGGTTTGTGTCACCCTTGACGGATGACTGGGCGTTACAGAATGTGGGGGCGAAGCAGCGAACGATGTGCGAGGTCCGACGCGAGATACGCGGAGGAGGGGGGGCAGCGCATGCAATATGCAGTGTGCCAGCAGCGACCACGCGACGAGCACAGCTGGGCGCAAGGTGGTCTGATGCTTGCTAGTCAATATGAAGGAGCCTGAAGAGCCTGACCGTCTGTCGCGCCTCTACGGGCTCTGGCTTGTCTTGGGCTTCTGCGGCTGTTCTGAGCTGTGCCCTTTCTTTGTGGGAGGATGACGTTGGGCAAGCCTGGTCTACTGCCGGAAAGAGGGTGGTCAGAAAATCGAACAGCACTAACGGGCTGGTTGGTAGAAGACGGCTTCCCAAGGTCCTCGCACGAGGCGGATAAGAAGAACAAGACGTACTGTGCGGTGGAGTTGAGAATGGCAATTGACAGTGGAGAGTGTCGAGTCTGAGGCTAGGCGATCAGAGCTCAATGTTTGTCGTCGATTTGGCTGCCCAGAGTGAAGCAGAACTAGTGACGACGTCAGATGTCGAGAGGTGAGGAACGAGGCAGACGCCTGTACAGATATGGTCGTTTTCGGATGTCACGGATGCGAGAGAGCTGAGGAGGGACGCGCGCACTTGTTTTCGGCTTTGCGTCAATCCAGTCGCAGATTCTTGACCAATCTTTCCTACCACGTCGAGAGTCAAAACAAAAACGTGAAGATGCAGTGCAAGGTAATTCTGCCCAGCTTCAAACCATCCCACACCGGCACTTGAAGGGGGGGACCTTATTAGCATCCAAACCGCCGGCATCTTCGGAAACGCAGATGCCCATGCCACGGGGCAACGCGGCGGCTTTGACACTAGGTAGGTACTTACAATTAAGAGCTCCACGGCAAACCTACGGCCCAGCTCACCCTGTGCTCACCAACGTGAGCCCTGGGCCTTCTTCTCTCAAGCCCCCCTCATACCAGCTGACTCAAAAACACCCGCTACCCCCCCGTGTTTGGCCTTTCGAAAGAAAAACCTGGCTTGTGGATCCGTGTCAAGGCGATCAAGACGGAGTCGGGCACCCTGTCAGGCCGATGTGTTTCCCTTCCAAAAGGCGGTCGCGTGGGCCAGTTTCGGTGTTCACGGACTGTTCAAAGCCTCCGGTCCATCCGTCCACATGTGCCAGGGGGGTATATTCGGTGCAAGGACCCTTCACCGATGGGCTGGCCGGGTCGCGACCTCGGTGCCGAGTTACTTGTTGCAAAGCTCCCCGCGCCGCTTGGCCACGCGATAGAGCTTTCACGTTCCGTTGAGGAGTTCCATCTCATGGTCGAATTTGTGGCCCTTGTCTGGTTTTAGGTTATTTTCTCCTTTTCGAGTTCTTGCTCTTAGGTGAGGTATCAAAGGGTTGATGAAGTAGGGCTTTCAATCTACTGCCGCCCAACCCGCCCACCCACACGTGCAGCGGCTCTGCCGGCATGTCGAGTCGCGAATCTGGTGAGCGACGAATGCGAACACGGG